CTGAATTAGGTTTAATGTTAACAGGCTTATCCCAAATCTCATAGCTAATATATGACCTAGTGACCTAAAAAAGGACCCAAGTTCTAATTGGGTGTTTCTTCAAGTACACTATCAATCACATCAATTTATTTAGATTATCAGTCACATACTTTAATCTGACCCTGAAAATATTTGGTTGTATTCATGACAGTAACTCATTTCTTACATGCCATATGAAAGAATGTTACATGAGAGTAGTCTTAAATATTTGTGATGTCGAATATCTCTTCTAACTTTAACATGCTGTATTTCTGTAATATCAATCTGAACAATGATCAGATACCAGAAAAAGACATGCATTGTCTTCCTGCATGTCAGTAGTTGTACCATTTGCTGTTTGTACTTAACCACATACAAAATGGAGTAGATTTAGTAGACAGCTATGTCTATATTTATACTGTCTATAGGGTTATTGTATAGTTGATTGAATACAATCTTATTGTGGCTGTACTATTGCTTAGGGAAGAGATTGGGAAAGTCCTTTGGAAATCATGTGTGTATTTTTATTTTAAATTTGTAACATTTTTAGTTTAACCTTCAAGTGACCCTTAAAGTGAAAGGAGTAGTGGGTGAAGTATTCTTTGCCACAAAAGATTCAAATTACAAAAAAACACACAATCATTTGTTGTCATGTTAATCTACCTGTGTGATCTGCCCATAACCCAGTTTTCTCTTGAATACACTTGTTTAATGAAAACCATTTAGCTCTGCTTCTAGTTGCTGCCTAATTGTACTTTCAATTTATCTGACTTTTCTCAGCAATCTGCTTTGGGGTAAATCTATATACCCCCAAATCACGAGATACCCTTTTCAGTTAGATTAAATAAATGCTTTGGTAACACCGTGTTCTTGACCAGGACGGTCCCTTTTTGCATGAAACAGAAAATTACGCAATTAATTTACTATCTTTTGAATTCCTCCAGAGTCCCCACATACTATGGACATGTCAGTTGTATTAGAAGATGAAAAACCAGTGAGTGTTAATGAAGTACCAGACTATCATGAAGACATTCATACATATCTTAGGGAAATGGAGGTAAAGCTCTCTTGATCCAATTTGTATACTGTTATTCATTAAATGGAGTCCTGATGTGGTGCTGCCTCATAATGCACTGCACCACAAGGTCGGTTTGCACTGCATGGTCAACAGTTCATTCAGATCTTACCAGCTGCTCCTTCAAAACCCTAAACAGGGTTGCTGAGTCAGAACCAACTCAGTGGTACTTAACAAGAATTCATTAAATGCAGCTAAATGAAATAGAATAGTATTTTTATTTATTTATTTTTTTTACTGATTAACTATTAGTGAAAGTTAGGTTTCCAGCATATAGCATTTTGTTAATTTATAATGTAATTGTATTTTTACATTGTACTAAATAACTTTTTTCAACAGGTTAAATGTAAGCCTAAAGTGGGTTACATGAAGAAACAACCAGACATCACTAACAGTATGAGGGCTATCCTTGTGGACTGGTTAGTTGAAGTAGGAGAAGAATATAAACTACAGAATGAGACCCTGTACTTGGCTGTGAACTACATTGATAGGTTCCTTTCATCGATGTCTGTATTGAGAGGAAAACTTCAACTTGTGGGTACTGCTGCTATGCTCTTAGCCTCGTAAGTTAACTTTTGTTGGAATGATGAAGAGAAATGTGGTTTTTAACAGTGTGACACAAGGCAGTCAGTGACTAGTTGAGGCAGCATGGGAGAGGGGAGCAGGTATATATTTTAGGATACCGGAGAATGGTATGTTTAACACACTAGTCTTAGATTTGTGTGTGTTGTCAATTTAATTCCCACTCAAAGCTACCCTACCTCATAGGGTTTTTTAGTGCGCTTCTCCTACCTAATAACTTTTTGGCATATGAAGCCAAAACAGTACCTGTTGATGTCAAATTGATTTTGATTCAGAGAGACCCTGTAAGCTAGACAGTGTTTCCAAGGCTATAAATCTTTATAGAAGCAGACACATCTTTCTCCTGTGGAATGGCTGATGGGTGTGAACTTCTGACTTATCTTTAGCAGCCAAGTGCTCAACCACTGCACCACCAGGGCTCCCTTCTGGCAAAGATGTGAACATTTTCTTAAGACTCGTAGTTCTTAAATTTTCAGTTACTTGGTAAGCTCTAACATTGTTCTTAGTAAATCTCTAGCCTCTTGTTTTCTTTCGCAATCTCAAAATCCTTTATTATGAAGCTTGGACCTTATAATTAACAATTGTCTGCCCACCTCTGCTAGAAGTAATGGGCAAGTATTAGTGGAGACAGGCAGTGGGTAGAAAGTGTAGGTTTTTGGATTCAGTCCATGTTTTGCTGGGTAACATTTCAGAATTAGCAAGCTTGCTTTTCTTTCAGAAATGATTACTTAAAAAATTTTTTTCATTGTAGAAAGTTTGAAGAAATATATCCGCCAGAAGTGGCAGAATTTGTGTACATTACAGATGATACCTATACCAAGAAACAAGTTCTGAGAATGGAGCACCTAGTTTTGAAAGTCCTTGCTTTTGACTTAGCTGCACCAACAGTTAATCAGTTTCTTACCCAATACTTTCTGCATCAGCAGCCTGTAAACTGCAAAGTTGAAAGTTTAGCAATGGTAAGTTCCTTTCATTTGCTGGAACAAGCCCTAGTTTCATTGCTTAGTTTTGGTCAAGATTATTTAGTATTCTAGATAGAGGTTAATGCTCCAGTGGTAAGAAAGCCTACCAGTGGCTAAAAATAACCTTAAAAGATAAGGCTATTATTTTCCTGTGGCAACAGCAATTGTGAGGATGGCACAGGGGGCCCAGGTAGTGTTTTCTGTTGTGCATGGGATCACTTGTGTTGGAACCGAGTCAGTGTTTTGAGTTCTAGAGCTTTTGTGTTTTCATTCCAGTTTTTGGGAGAGTTGAGTTTGATAGATGCAGACCCATTCCTAAAGTATCTGCCATCAGTTATTGCTGGAGCAGCCTTTCATATAGCACTCTACACAGTCACAGGACAAAGCTGGGTATGTATTGCATTGTTTTCACACATCTGCCTTGCAAGGGGAGTCCCTGTGATGGCAGTGCTGCTAACCAAAAAGTTTGGAGGTTTGAGTCCACCTGAATCTGAAGTCAGCCATTGAAAACCCTATGGAACACACTTCTACTCTGATACAGGTAGTTGTCATGATTTGGAGTTAAATACCTTGTGAGTATCAAATAAATAATTGTCCTAATCATGACCTAGAATGTCCAAATATATACATGTTTAAAGCATCCTACATGTTAAATAAGGACTCCTGGTGTGGTGCTATAAGCCCTGGAGTGCTAGTCAGAAGGCCAATGGTTCAAACACACCAGCTGCTCCTTGGAAACCCTATACAGGGGTTCCATAATTTGAAACCGTGTCAACAGCACTTTAACAACATGTTGGGGAAAAAGCTTACTCATAACTTGGATTTGAAAAGTGCTTAAAATCTTTTATTGAAGTCAGTCAGCATAAGAGATGGAATAATAGCATGAGAAAACAAGATGTTATTTAATGGTGCTAAAGTAATTAAATTTAATATTTGAGCACTTAAAACAAACTGCTACTAACTCATTGTGTTGTCATTAGAAACAAAACTCATGGTTCTTCATTCCCTTCTTGCAGCCTGAGTCATTAGCACAAAAGACCGGATATACCTTGGAAAGTCTTAAGCCTTGTCTCATGGACCTTTACCAGACCTACCTCAGAGCACCAAAACACGCACAACAATCAATAAGAGAAAAATACAAAAATTCAAAGTAAGAATTAATTGAGCTGTTATTACTAGTCCAAGTGAGCCTTTGGTTCTGAAGTCAACATTTTAAAACACCTTAAGGTGTATTCTCTAACAGACCCAGTTTTTGAGAACGTTGCAGCTAGTGAGTTCTGTTGTAAATTGGGCGGTGGAGGGATTTGTGAATACCTGCTTTGGAGAATGGTGATTTTATAAACTTTAACCTGATCAGAAAGGCAGAAATAGCATTTTTGGGTTTTCAAGTCTGGTTGGTGCTATGGGTTAATGCATTGGACTGTAAGGTCAGCGGCTCAAAGCTCACCAGGTGCTCCTTGGAAATCCTATACAGAGTCGCTGACAACAGCACTTAAGTGTATCATCCCATCACCTGTACTTAATGTCTTTTTTTTCTCCCTACTTCTAGGTATCATGGTGTTTCTCTCCTCAACCCACCCGAGACACTAAATGTGTAAGAGTGAAGAGACTACCTTTGTTTTCTAAGATGTAAATCACTCAAAGTATATGATGTACAGTTTTTATCTTAGGTCTTAATTTTACAATCATTTCTGAATACAGAAATTGTGGTCAAATACAAATTATGTTATCTATTACTTTTTTAATGGTTTTAATTTGTATATCTTTTATATATGTAACTGTTTTAGACGCTTGGCTACTTTTAAGTGGATTAAACAAAGTATTAATGATGTCAGCTATCAGGATAATAATTAATAAATTGATTTGGGAAAAAATCATTTGTAAGTCAAGTCTGATTTGAGATTAAAAAAAGTCAATAGTTTTAATCTGAGAAAACTGGATTACTGTAGAATGGAGAGGCTTCTAATATTGAAGTCTAGGAATAGACCATCAAGTTCTGGCATTCATTTTCCTATGCAACTGGACAAATGTGCTGTTTTCGGGCATGTGAACTAATCTGAACAGTATTGTATCAGTATAGTGATAAGCCTCCTTAAAAACTGTTTATCCCATGTATACTTTAAACAGCCTGTGAAAAATGTTTTGTGCCTGTCAAGTTTTATACATACTTAAGTCAAGTTATCTAAAACGTACTAAGTGTATGAGAGGAGAAAAATGAATAACTTAACAGATCATGGGTGGGGTGGGAAGCATCTGTGCAAATTAAGATTCTCGAGATGGTTTAAACACCATGTTAAAAGCTATATTTTTAAAAACCTAGATTTTATTTTAAGATTTGTGAATAAAAACCAGTTGTTAGCACTGAATAAATATTCTTTTAATAGTATACAACAATGTTAGCTTAATTAACAGCTCTCTTTTTTCTCTTTTTCATTGGCTTTTTACTTGGTACTTTTTCCTGTTTTGCACTGATGGTCTGTGTTCTGTGAATAAGCAAAAATAAATTAAGTTGACTAACAGTAATATTAATAGTATGCATAAGACCCTGATTTCCATTTTGCCTGTTAATTTTGATTACAGAAATAGAAGGCTATAAAATTTAGTAAATAAGAATAAATTACAGTTAATTTGACAAGGTGCTCTATCTATAGAAATAGGTCTTCATGCTTATACATCTCAGATTCAAAAAACCACAGAAAGTAATGCATTTATAATAACTGAGAATAAAACCAAGAGTATTAGCAAGTTTAAACTTTTATATAAAATAAATAATAAGTTTACCTTATTTTCTTTGGAGACTTGTCTGGTTCTAAGATAATCATTTCTTCTTCTTCACTATCTGAGAGTACTATAGTGGCATCTTTAAGAAAATATATATTAAAAATGCTATATAAATATGAAAATAATTTTTAAAAAATACTCTCGGGAAATTACCACATTGGCTTATATTAGAGGTTTTAGAAACTGTTTGCATACAGAGCCCAAGCTACTTTTGGGGTAGAGGCTTTAAAGATGTAATTATAACTATTTGGGGCTTTGAAAAGCAATGTGTAAATTTTTTCCTTATGAATTATATAATAGTGCATACATCGATACATGTTCATAAAAGAAAAGTTAGTTAGGGGGAAAATAGGTTGTTATCTTATAAACCACCTTGGAACTGACCTGAAAACTTGTCAACTGAATCACTAGTGCTATTATTACTTTCACTCTGTCTTTAACACTAGAAGGAAAATTGAAACACTGTTGAGTCAAAAGGTACATTCTAGAAGATACTTGGGCCAAACTGCCCTTGAGAAATATTTTAATTATGCTCCCTATAAGTTATGTGTTTCACAAATGCCCTACACCCATAGAAGTAGCTGACCGGGCTATTTCTATGATGGCTCAATATAACAGAAAATGCTTCCTCATATTGGATTTGACCTGAATTTATTTCCTTTAACAGGATTGACCATGAAAAAGATTGTTGGTTTTTGTTTTTCTCTTGAACTTTTGATTCATTTCCTTTTAGATTTCTCCCTTCGTTCACATCCTTTAGAAAGGTTCCATCACAGTTATCTCTGGTAGCGTAGTGGTTACGAATCGGGCTGCGAACCTTAAGGTCAGCGGTTCGAAACTACCAGCCGCTCCGCGGGAGAAAGATGAGGCTTTCTACTCCCATAAGGATTTACACCCTCGGAAGCCCTGTACAGGGTCGCTCGCTATGGGTCAGAACCGACTCAACGGCACTTAACAACAACAACAGTTATCTTAGGTTTACCTTTATTATTCACTTGAACACACTACTCTTCAAATCAGTAATTGCAGGACCATTAACCCAATTAATCTTAGAAAAATACTTCAAATATGTAAAGACAAGGATGTACATTAATAACAACAGCCTACCTAATCCATCAATATTTCAAAATACGGCTGATATCTATATGGATTGACATGAAACAACTTATCAATCAAAATCTGCTTAATCAATATGCATAAAGTAAACAAATGCATGGAACAAAGTCTGGGAGAGTAACACAAATTAAGAAGTTTTCTCATTTATTTACTTCAATAGTGACTCTCATTAATGTTTATAGGTAGGTAGTTAAGTCTGGTGTGGTGCTGTGGGATAAAGCACTGAACCACAAGGCTGCTCCTTAGAAATTCTAAACAGGATCACTATGAGTCGGAACCACCTAATGCACTTAACAACAACAAAGTTCTCATAAAAGCAGGCAGGCATATGCATTACACATCTGAACAGTTAACACCATTGTGTCCTAATCAAATCAGACTGGTAGGCTACATCCTGTAGTTCTCTGCCAATCCAGTACCTAGCTCCTTGAATGATTAGTTTTTATGGTGTTCAGTGTTGTCAGGTTGATTCCAACTCCTTGCGATCCTGTGTAGTTTCTGGGGAAGTTGGTGGTACTGAACTGCTGAACCACCGATCTTATGGTTCACAGCCCAGTGCTTATCCACACCAGGAGTCTGTAGCATTTCTGACACTATAAATCTTAATGAGAGCAAGCAGCATCATATTTCTCTCTCGGAGTGGCTGGTGGATTTGAATTGCCAACCTTGAGGTGGTGGTGGTCGTGGCTGTAAATCTTTATGGGAACAGAACGTCTCATCTTTCTCCCACGGAACAGCTTGATAGTTTTGAACTGCTGACCTTGTGGTTAGCAGCCCGATCTATAACCACTACACTACCAGAGCTCCTTAACCTTGAGGTAGCAGCCCAATATTTAACGTACGGTACCACCTGCATGCAACAATTTCTCCGATTCCACAGCTTTCAGGATGCAAGGAACATTTAGAACTACCAAAATCCCACTGTTCTACAATTTTTTGATTCAATACTCCATCCTGGTGTGGTGCTGTAGGATGAGCACTAGACCACAAAGTCAGTCTGAATTACAAGGTACTTTGTTCAAACTCACCAGCTGATCCTTCAGAAAGCCTATACAGGGTCGCTATGAGCTGGAACCGGCATACATTGATTGCACTTAATTGATGACCACATATTGCAATATGGTCCAGGATGGTAGCCACTCGATACGTGCCTGGAATCCTGGTGTGGCACTGTGGGTCAATGCACTGGACTAAAAAATGCTAGTTCGGCAGTTCAAGCTCATCAGTTGCACCCTGGAAACCCTATAGAGGGTTGCTATGGATCAGAGCCCACTCAACAAGATAAGTGGCTAAGAGTAAACAAAGATTAAAACTCAGTTCCCGTCACACAAGACCCATTTCAGGTGCTCAACAGGCGTGACTAGTGGCTCCTGAATTGGAAAATAGAATGAGAACACTTGAGTGGCCTGGGCAGCACTACTCTGTTATGCTTATGGTTGAGCCTGAAAACTATACAAATACCCCTCTAAGACTGAAACAACCCCCTCTAAGACTGCAATTCAAAGGGAACACATGAGCAGCCTTGTAAGCTTGCTGGAGACCACACTGTCTACTGGTGAGTTGAAGAAAAGAAAAGGCAACAATGAAGAAATGGGCTGAGTTCAACCACAGTCCATAGACTCCCACTGACCTGGAGATGAGGAGAGAAGAGGAAGGGCTGGTTTGTCCAAAGTGGTGAGACCTAGGGATACCTGAGCCCAGGGACAAGGACATAGCCATGGAGGGATAGAGCTGAAGAGTGAAACATCCAGCTGATCTGAAGTGAAGGGAGATGCACAAGAACACCCAAACTTGCAGATAGTAAGTTCCCTTTTGACCTAGCCTTGATGGCTTGATAATCAGAACTCAACTAGAGGATGATAAAATTTTTTTGATAAGGAAACGAAGGCAAATTGTTATAATTTGATGAACTTGACCTATACTCATGGATGTAATAACTCAAAATACCAACAGCGGGAAGGCGTCTTCACATGAAGTATCAATACTATCCCTTCTGTATACAGGGTAGATAAGAACAGCCAACTTAGACAGTGGTTACCTAAAATGAGGGGGCAATAAAGTGACTGTCTTACAAGTTTTCAAGAGGGAGTTTAGTTTAAGAGTGTGAGGGAAGACAGAGTCCCCACTGTATAGTTTTCATCTTGTCTGGTAAAAAGAGATGGGGATAAGAGTCTTATGATTCAATAGTAAGTAACTGTTACCATTACTAATTGAGACTGTTAACAATTGTAAAGCTAGACGGTTTGTTAACAAAAAGGGGAATAGTTAATCTTACAATCTAGAAATAGGACCCTAGGACCATCAAGAGAGAAGAGTACAAGTGGAATGCAAGACCTTATCCAGAGAAGCAGTGACACCAGAGATGGAGGCAAAGATAGGGACATAGAGGGAACAGCTGAGGACTGTAGCTTCATGGAAAAAGGGACTCAGAGCTGGCGGCCAAGAGGCAGGCTTGCAAAATGTGTCCTTTGGTGGTTTAAATTATGTATGCCTGAGTTTTTTTTAAAAAAAGAACTAAAATGAATAGAAATGCTGTTAACTAATGGTACAAGGAAGACCATAGAAGAATTGATGCCTTTGAGTTATGGTGTTGAAGGAGAATACTGAAAGTGCCATGGGCTATCAAAAGAACTAACAGATCCGTTTTGGAAGCAGTGCAGGCAGAGTGCTCCTTAGAGGCCAAGGTGGCCAAACTGTCTCTCATACTTTGGACATATTGTCAGGAGGGACCAGTTGCTGGAAAAGAATATCATGTTTGGTAAGGTAGAGGGTCAGAGAGAAAGAGGAAGACTAACCTTTAAGGTTAGCAGCCCAATTTGTAACCACTACACTACCAGAGCTAAAGAAGAAAACAACTAATATTTTAAATGTCACTATGTGTCATCTCCACACAAAGATAGCACATTATTCTAGAAAAGAATACTGCAAAAAGCCTAGAGTTTAGATGAAATTAGATTCTATTTATGGATGACCACAGTGCAGTGGTTACGAGTCAGGCTGCTAATCTCCAGGTCAGCAGTTCAAAACTACCAATCATTCCTCAGGAGAAAGAGGAGGCTTTCTGCTCCAAAAAGATTTACAGCTTCAGAAACTCTACACAGGGTCACTATGAGTCGGATCCGACTCCAAGGCACATCACCAACCTTGGTTTCCAGTATCAGAGAGTTCTACTCCAGTGTCCATTTTCATATTATCAAGAATGATAGCTTCATCACTGCCATCTTGGTCCTCATCTTCCTTCTCAGAATCTTCAAGATCACCCCAGGCATTTTCTGTGCCCTCTCCAACTTGGGCAGTTCCAGGAGTCCATAACACAGGGTTACAAACACTTAACAAGTTAAGAAAGCAACAGCAAAACGTAGGTACTGATGCACTGAGTAGACAGTAAAATGGTAGTTTTCTTCTAAGACTGATTCAAATTTGCCTCAAAATGCTTGGGAATAAAAATTTGCTAATAGCCATACTATGGCTAAGGAGCTCTGGTAGCATAGTTGTTACAAATTGGGCTGCAAACCTGCAAGGTCAGCAGTTCTAAACTACCAGCTGCTCCATGGGAGAAAGATGAGCCTTTCTGCTCCTGTAAAGATTTACAGCCTCAGAAACCCTTTATAGGGTCACTATGAGTCGGAACTGACTTCATGGCATATAGCAACAACAATACAACAATACTATGGCTGAACAATAAGGAAGAAATAAAATCTACTACTCAGGTAAAAGTTTATGGACAATTAATGGTAAGAATTATCAAAAGACAGGATGGCGCTCACCATTTTAGTTGCAATAGTAAATTGGGTTAAAGGGTCAATAACTATAACAATGTTTAACAGTATATAAAGTGTTTGGCCACACCATTAATATTAATGAAGCTTTTCGAAGGACAAATGAAATGCTGCAAATTGTTTCTAAAAGTATAGAATGTTCCGGTGGTTTGCAAATCAACTAAAGAGAAGCTGGATATTATGTCACTGACTCAACATGGCTCATGACTCAAATTACTATCTTGCCTTGTATCTCAAGTGTTTTAGTCATCTAATAGAAGACTAATGCACACCCTTCACAAAAGTATTATGAAAAAAAGGCATTTTGTTTTTATTACAAAAACCACCCAATACAGATACACTTCTGAAGGAGGTTCAGCTTCAGCAATTATTTCTCCTGCTTTCTCCCCTGCATCAGAGGTGTCAATCAGGGCTTTTTCCATTTTAAATGCTGTGATTCTCTGATGTGCAATAGATTCTGCAAAGCCAAACTTTCCACCTTCCTTCCTGCATATGGGTTTGGAAAGAGGTAGTGAGAGAATAAAGGTGAGAGAAGACAAAAGAAAAAGTTATTATTTTATCCTTTGATGTTTGAGAAGTAACTCAGAGAGATGGCTTATTCGACCAATTTAACTTCACCTATTATGCCTCATAGAATAGTAAGTAAAGATAAGAATTACCTCCCAATTTGTGTTTTGTATTGATTTTATTTTTTCTAAAACTAATTTTGAAAGAAATACTAGTTGACTTCTCATATTTAAATTGAGGGGAAAAAAAAAGTTCAATCAACTTTCAAAAAACATACTTTAAGGTAAGATCACATATAAAAACGATTAACAGTCACCTTTGTGAAAGAAAAGCCTGTAATAGACTTATCTATTAAAAATCATTTAATCATGAAAAAAACTTACCTCACTTTCTGGTCATTCTCTAAAGCTTTCTGTATTAGTTCGGTGATTTCTGCTACTTTCACACCAGCTATTTTACTGCATCTCAAAACCTATTTATAAAAACAAACTATAATATCTAAAGGCAACAAATGAAATGGCTTTCTTTAAACAAATTTAAAAATTGCCCAGGGATGCACTATCTTCATGTCTGTGCCAGTAACTCATACTGCTAGTTCAAGACATGGCTGCACTGTCCCCTGGGAAGCTTATAAAACAAAAAGATCCCCAGACCACAGGGACCTATAGTCACAATCTAGGGATCTGGGTGGTGGTTAAGTGTCATGGAGTCAGGTCCAACTCATGGCGACCTTATACAGAGTTTCTGAGAAGCAGCTGGTAAGCTTGAACTGCCGGCCATGCGGTTCAAACCAACTTTGCAGTCCAGTGCATTAACCCACAGCACCACACCAGGATTCCAGAGATCTGGGTGGTTGTTGTTAAGCGCCACTGAGTTGGTTCTGACACAAAGCGACCCTGTATAGGGTTTCCAAAGAGTGCTTGGTGGATTTGAGCTGCCTACCCTGCAGTTGAAACTGATCTTCAGTCCAGCACATTATCCTGCAGCATCCAGGTAGTGGTTGTAAAACTGGTAATTATTATGATAATGGTGACTAACATGTATTGAGGAGCCCTGGTATGGTGCAGTAGGATAAGCACTCGACCTTAAGGTCCATGTGAACCACAAGGCTGGTGGTTCAAACTCACCAAACATTCCTCAGAAGCCCTATACAGCATCGCTGAGTCAGAACCGACTTGACAGCATTTACGAACAGTAATGTACATGCTAGGTAGGTGGTTAAGAGCACACACTGTGTTAGTTTAAATATTAGCTCTGATTTGTATTAGCTGAACTTGGGCAAATGTTTTAATACCTTTGAGCCTCATTTCTTACTATGAAATATGTTGTTACTGCGTACATTTCTGGTGGTTAGAAAACTGTAAGGATAAGTATATTCCAGTGCCCAGCATATATAAGTACTCAATACAGTTGTTAAGTGCTGTCGAGTTGGTTCTGACTCATATTGACCCTGTATAGGGTTTCCAAGGAACAGCTGGTGAGTTTGAACCACTGATCTATGGTTGGCAGTCAAGTGTTTATCCTACAGTGCCACACCAGGACACAGCCTCCATGAGAATCTGATGGATTTGATAATGACTGTGTATTATACTAAGAGAAAGATGTTCTCTTTAATTTGTACTTTTTGATGCTTATTTATTGGTGTCTTTTCTTGATTTGAAGAAAAATGTACTCTCTATCCTTAAGGGCCATATTCTGAGGGTCATACATGAGAGTAGCAAGGGAGAAAGGAGGACCCCTCCTAAGCAGCAGCCAACTATCCTTGTTGGATTTCGGGCAAAAGACAACTAAAAGGTTCTAAAGATGGTACAGTAATGAAAGGACTAACTTGATCTTTTAGCAGCATTATCCCACCACTGGACTGGATGGTACAAATCTCTCGATGTTTGTTCATGGCAATCACCAGCAAGCCATCCATTACACGTTCTTCACGTTCATTGGGATCCACCAATAAATACGTTCTGCAATGTTAAATGAACCTGAATAAATCTGGAAGTATGAATGCTCGTCATTTTTAAGACAATGGATGATTTATTTAAAAGATGGTGTTGGCAACATAAACATAGTTAAGAATTTAACTGGGGATTTAATCCTTTAAGTCACCTTAATAAGAAAAGATAATTACAGTTTTTAATCAACATAAAATAAATACCAAGTGATTTTCTCCAACTACTACAATAAAATCAGAGTCCATATTAGTTTTTTCTGATACTGTCTCTGTGTTGCCTAGTACATTAGCTACTAGCTGCAAGTGGTTACTAAGACCTGTAATGTGCCTAGTCCAAATTGAGATGAACTATAAAATAAACTCTGAATTTCAAAGGTTTAGTGGAAACAAAAATATGAAATATTTCAAGATTAAGTTTTTAAAATATCAATTACAAAATAAAATAACAGTCTAAATATGTTGCTTTTGTTGTTGTGAAGTGCTGTTGAGTCGGTTCCTACCCACAACAACCCTGTATAGGGTTTCCAAGAAGCAGCTGGTGAGCTTGAACCTCCAACCTTGCAATTTAAACAGCTTTGCAGTCTATAAACTGTTTCCTTTTCCTTTTTGATTGTGGCTACAGGAAAATTTAAACTCACATAAACGAGGAAGATTCAAAAAGTTTGTGGAAAAATTCAATTTTTATTTTCCTTGAATTTTCAAACCCTCATATGGTTCCTATTATATCTATTAGTGTTGAACTTCTATACCACAATGACTACAAACTAAAAGCTTTTCTCTAGTCCTTATTCACTTTTTGATGACATTCATACTTGTTAAAATACCCTCTGCCCTTGTTCTGAATTAGTGGTTACAAATCGGGCTGCGAGCCGCAAGGTCAGCAGTTCAAAGCCACTAGTGGTTCCATGGGAGAAAGATGAGGCGATCTGCTCCCGTAAAGATTTACAGCCTTGGAAACCCTGTACAGGGTCGCTATGAGTCAGAACCGACTCCACGGCACATAACAACAACAACAAGATGAAAATGAGTTTTGTTTCAAAAGAGATGTAAGGCTCAAGCTTCCATCCAATTTTCCATGCGACTTGCTCCTAGAACTAATCCACTTAATGTGCTCCACAGCCCTCTAATATTAATCCACACTACTGTGGATTATTCTTATTCTACTTTTTCAAAGTAGAAACTAGCATGCCAATTCTAAACTGTGTAACTATGCCATGAAAGAAAAAACAGAAGTATCCTTGTTGTAGAAGAGTTTGAGACTTCTATTGAGAAAGTTCTTTGACAGCTAAATCTCTTACAAAGAACAATAAGATTTATGACTATTAAAAGAGGGAGTATATTCATTAATCCATGGAACATCTGAGTAGAGCAAAAAAGTTCTAGTTGCCCACAATAAGGCAAGACTCACCCTTGCTGGAAGAAGGCAAAACTGACACAAATGGGCATGTGGTGGATGCTCAATGGCACAGGATCACGCTCTTCAGGTGTATACTTTTCCAAAGAAAAGGTTCAAGAATTACAAATGACACTTTGGAATATACAAAACACTTACCATGCACCCCAAATATTAAAAGAAATAAAAATTCTTTAGTATTAGATATTTCATACGGCAACTTACATTCCTCAAATTTTCTGATATTTTTCAAGAGCTTTATTAATGCTTAATTTACATACCATAAAATCTAATCACTTTCAATATACAATTCAATTATTAATAAATTTATAAAAGTTGTATGACCATCATCACAATAGTTTTTGAACACTTGTATAACTCCAAAAAATTCTTTTTTAAAAAAACTTTTATGAATTGAGTAAAAGTTTACAGATAAAATATAAAGAATTTTACACTCAACAAACCATGTATGTACTTTGTTTAATCTCAATGAATGTAATTCCTTTCATCCAACAGGAACCTAAGTACAAATACCCTCTTTTCAAACTGACTAATTTCACTCAGCGTAATGAACATTTAGGCTACCTTCATCTTTTTGCTTTTATGAGTAGTGCTGTGATGAACATTAGTGTGCACATATCTATTCATGGCCTGCCTGGCTCATATTTCTTGTATATATAACAAATACAGGGATTACTGGGTCATATGGTATTTCTAATTTCAACTGAGGAAGCACCATACCACAACAATGGTTGAAACATTTTACAGTCCCACCAGCAACATAGGTGGGTCCCAGTCTCTCTACTCCCTCTCCAGCATTTGTTGTCTGTTTCTGAACTTTGCTATTGCAGGGCATCTTTGGTCCTTCTAGTCAAATTTCTCCATTTTGTGACATATTGTAAATCCTAGCCTTCATGCCTGTGATTATGGACCCTTTTTGAAATGAGTTGCTAAGGAGTAAAGATTAAGGTAGGGATAAGGAACTTCAAGACCGGTAGTTCAAGCTCACCAGCTGCTCCTCGGAAACCCTATACAGGGTTACTGTGGGTCAGAACTGACTCAATGGCACTTAAAAACAACAAGTAAAGAGGCGTTCTAGTGTGGCGCTGTGGGATAATGCACTAGATTACAAAGTCGGTTTGAACTGGAGGGTATGTGGTTCAAGGTTACCAGACACCCCTCCGAAACCCTACACAGGGTCATTATACATCGGAACTGACTCAACAGCACTCAACAACAACAAGCAGTAAAGGAGCTCTAGTAGAGTGGTGGTCATGAATCAGGTTGCTAACCTCAAGGCGAGCAGTTTGAAACTACCAGCTGTTCCACAGGAGAAAGATGAGGCTTTCTAATTACAGCTTCGGAAACCCTATGCAGGGTGACTATGAGTCTTTGTCAACTACATGGCATACTACCACCACCGATTACAGTGAAACGAAGTATTAAGAATGCCCTAACCTGAGTAAAGGGTGTGAATCGAGTCATAGCTCTTAGTTTCCCTTAGGGACAAGGTCTGATTCCAATTTTTAAAAGGCTTTGGAAAAGCTTGCTCTCTTACCCTGGAATGTTGCTTCTGGGCCATGTCTGACCTCCATCCAGCTCATGGGCTTTTCGGCCTATCACCTGACCTGATTCACCAACTCCTGCAGCCTTGTGCATCAACAGTTTGCTGTCTGACCTGCTGATTTCATTTCCACAGCTCTTAAGACTACACAGGTAGGAAAATCCTTCTAAATGATCTTTGAACTACAGATTTGGGACTGACCAGCCTCCTTAATTTCATAAGCCATTTCATTTGACAATCATGAGCTTTGTGAGACTTTGCAGCGTGTTGCAGAACCCAAGGATTTGAGGGGAGGGAGGGGTGGTGATTGATACCAAGGATCATGGAGGGGCGTAAGAGGTTGGAAAAGTCAAACAGTTGATAAACTTTTAACCTTCAACTCATAGGACCAGACTTGTGTTTTTATAAAACATTCATGTAGCTATTGGAATCCTGGTGTTGCAATGCAAGATAATACATTGGACCACTGCAAGGTCAGTTGCAACTGCAAGGCCGGCGGTTCAAACCCACCAACTGCTCCTTAGAAACCCTATACAGAGTCACTATGGGTTGGAGCCGACTTGAGGCAACAATGGCTAATGACTGTGAACATGTCTTTATGTTTGTTGGCTACATGAATGTCTTCTTTGGTGAAGTATCTGTTCCTGTTCTGGGCCCATGTTGAAATTGGATAGTTTATCTTTTTCTTGTAGAGGTACTGTTGTTGCTGTTAAGTGCCGTGGAGTCAGTTCCACCTCATAGTGACCCCGTACAGGGTTTCTGAGGCTGTAAATCTTTACGGGAGCTTCATCTTTCTCCCACGGAACAGCTGACTGTGAGATTAGCAACTCGATTCGTACACACTATACTACCAGAGGTACTGTAGTTTGCTATAAATTTTAGAGATTAGTTCCTTGTCTGATTAGGTACTTAAAGACCTCCAATTTCGTTCTTCTTAAGCAGAGCTTTGCTTATCCAAAGTCTCTTTCCATTCCATATAAATTTAGTGATCATTTTTTCCATCTCTCAAATAAATGAAATTAGAATCTGGATTGGGACTGTGTTCTATTTATAGACTGCTTTGAGTAGTGTTGACATTTTCACAATCTTAAGTATTCCTATCCATGAGCATGGTATATATTCTCCCATTTTCCTAAGTCTCTTGGTTTCTTGGTAGTAGTATTTTGTAGTTTTCTTTGCATAGGTCTTTTCTTTCTCTAGTTACATTTATTCCTAAACATTTGATGCCTTTAATATCTCTTTCTCCCCTTATAGCTCTGAATCAGACTTCCAACATGACACTGATTAGTATTAGTAGTTAGGTGCCATTGAGTAGAGACCGACTCATGGCGACCCTATGCTGGGGTCTTTGAATTTCATAAGTATTTTAAGTCCTCTTCAGTTTCAGCAAGGAAGATTGTACCATCTGCATATCACAGGTTGTTAAGAAGTCTTCCTCCAATCCTGATGCCACATTTCTCTTCATATAACCCAGCTTTTCAATTTATTTGCTCAGCATACAGGTTGAATAAATATGGTGAAATAATACAAACCTGGTGCACATCTTTCATAATTTTAAAACATTTGATAATTCCATGTTCTGTGCGAACAACTGCCTCAATGTCTATGTACAGATTCCTCATGAGCACAATTAAGTGTTTAGAATACGTATACTTCACAATGTTGTCCACAGCTTCTCATGATACAC